GATTGTGCTGCACTAGACCACCTAATGCTTCATTTGCTACGCTATTTGAGATATCGCGATACATGTATATTGGTAATGAACTACACGTAAGCTTGCTGAAAATTCTTCGACAACCCACGACCGGTTTCGCCCTTCTTGGATCTTTCTTTTGAATGAAGAGACCCTTATTGAGTGAGGTGGTCACAAGGGGATCAGCTTCACCATGGTCGTGCGAGATTCTTAGCGTCACTTCTCTGTCACCTCATGGTGGCTCTAGAGCAGGAGGCGGGTTTTCGACTTGGTACATGTTGTACCGACCAAGTTTTCGCGCTCTGTCATGTGCTGGANTGGTTTCAAGTAGAACATAAAGTTGACGGAAACTCGGGGACTGCGTCTACCTGATGAGCCCCAAGTTGGGCAAAACCGATCGTGGACTGTCGAAGAATGAGAGGGATAGTTCAATACTTTACTAAAACTAATGGGAAAACTTTTTTCATTTGTTCTCGTAGGGTACAAAATTCATTCGAGATGTTCTCTCAAGCCATCTAGGAAGCGGTGAACATCCTGTCATCTTCTCAGAAGAATCCATTAGATAGTAACTTTACAACTTTTCAAATCAAACGTTGGTTTTTCATTTGATTACAAGACTACGAACGGCATGTAAATGGACCTGATATGATCTCGTTTAGGTCTATTATAAGGACAGTAGCCATAAACGTATCATTTGCCTTCAAGTACCCATTAATCAGATTCTCATGGACGGAAAATTCTATGCAACAACCTTTGGTCGAACAAATATGTACTTTTAAATGCAACTGCAGTTCCATGAACAAATTTCTTCCGAGTGCAGGACGTTCAAATGGCATCTGTAAACTGCCCAGATATTTCCCTCTTTTCGGTTCTACTTAGCCACATTGCGTGCAGTTCAGTTGGGTTTTTGTGAAAATCGCATTGAAAGAAATCGAAAACAAATAATTGATCTTTCTCTGTTACACAGAGTGTTAAAGATACAATCGCCAAATCGCTCATTTGATGCGTGTATTCGGTTCCTCGCCAATTTTTCACGGAGATTTTTACAGCATTTGAAATAGGCGGGCGTTCTGATTCCCATTTGTTCTTTATGGAAGGAAAGGGTTGCTCAAAATCTTTTTAACTTCCCAGAAGTTGCAGTCTCAAAGAAGAGCCACATTTCTTGTACCGTCAACTAGCAACCGGGTCTTTGATGTGTTCAGTTTATTCCTTCCATCATTAATAATCGGTACGGTTGAGTTATGGTGTCAGGTCACTTAGGATACGCTTTAACTTTGTCCTACTTGCCAGGCCAGATAAAAGATGCAGCAATGCATCTGTTCTTCACAGTCGCCTATTGTTTTGTCCTGAGTGTTGTGGAGCATGTCTTGAAGTCCACAGTGCAATCAATTAATCTGTATGAATTTGGTCACGGGTGTTTGGGGCTTCGTAGTGCCATCCCTAATTCAGTGGATTGGGAAGTTGGAGTGGTGTGACAAGGCATGGCGGTGCTGTTACTGCGACCTGATTCATTTTTTATGTTGTCTCTGAGGTACTTGTCATATTGTGGCCTACGTGGATGTTGCTCTGTATTGGAACAACCTGGTAGTCCATTCCACAGTCTGTTCTTTATATCATGGATGTGATACACACCTCTCGGAAGACTCGTTGGGGAATGATAACGAAATCGAGCGAACGACGGTGACCAATTCGGAGGAATGTCGAACTGATAATATATAGCTCTTTGTGGAAAGACCTAGTGTTACTAGTGTTGACCAGATAGACAAAGCGCTGTCCGTCCGAGAATTCCGTTGCCACTAACTCTTACATTCCAAGTGCCTTTGCGTCACGAATTGAGGTCAAATGGACCACCAGATGCAATAGACTCCTGAAATGAGAAAGCTGGCGTGTTTTGAAAGTCTCCTGAGATGTTGAAGATATTTTGGTTGTATACTCCCGAGGACAGTGCTGAGACACATGTAGTTGCCATCACCACAGTTTTGGCAGCCGGTTCTCGGCCGCGATAAGGGGAAACATATATATTGGTTTCATGCGGCCATTCGATGGACAATTTGTTGGTG